GCCAACATCAACATCATCATGATCTACATCATCATCATCATCATCAACCCCTACACTTCAACCTTGCAGCCCAACGTCGAAAGTTTGCCCGAAGGAAGCATTTTCTCCTGACTACTTCGAGCGAGATTCCGGAAGAGATTGCGAACCTTGGGCTCAAGGGTTTAGTGTTTAGCGGTTCAGGGGTAGGGTTTAGGCTTTAGGCTTTAGGGGTTTAGGGCTTAGGGTTTCGGGTTTAGGGTCTAGGGCTTCGGGGCTTCTTGGACGGTTTGAGGCTCGGTTTAGGGTTTAGAGCTCGGTCATTGGGACGAAAGGGTCTGCAAACGGAGTCACTTGAGATTCACTACAGAACTCCAAAAAAAACAGGTGTTACTTTGGGAGGCTTTATCACTCCCCCTTATGATCGCTAAACCCTAATAAACCCTCGACAATTTCCCTTATGGTCCTAAGGAGGTCGATCCTAAACCCTAAAACATCGACAATTTCCCTTATGGTCCTAAGGAGGTCGATCCTAAACCCTAAACCTTTGACAATTTCCCTTATGGTCCTGAGGAGGTCGATCCTAAACCCTAAACCTTCGACAAGTTCCCTTATGGTCTTACGGAGGTAAACAAATCTTTAGGCGCGAAACTCTAGGCCCTGGGCCTCAGGCCATGTTGGGTCGGTAGACTCAGATGCCAGGACTGCAGGGCCCAAGAACCATAGGGTGTAGGGTTTAGGGTTCAGGGTTTAGGGTTTAGGGTTCAGGGTTTAGGGCTTATAGGGTTTAGGGTTTGGGGTTCAGGGTTTAGGGTTTATAGAGTTTAGGGTTTAGGGTGTAGCGGTCAGGGACCACGGTTTAGGGTTTCTAGGGTTCAGGGTTTAGGGTTTAGGGTGTAGGGTTCAGAGTTTAGGGTTTGGGGTTCAGGGTTTAGGGTTTAGGGAGGTACGATGAGACATGTCAGACTAAGGGTTTATAGGGTTTTAGGGTTTTCTACCACAAACCCAAAAAGGTTGGAGGGTTGGCGGAGGTGGGGACGGGCCGTTCAAGGCGTGCGCCTGGGTGGGTTTAGCACGAGGGCCACCCTTTCATCGAGACACCCCCCACCAAACCCTAAACCCTAAAGCCCTAAACCTTGAAGACGCAGCCCCCAAATCGTAAGCCATAGACCCCTAAACCCTAAACCGTAAACCCTGAACTCTAAACCCTAAACCCTAAACCCTAAAACCTAAGCCCTAAACCCTAAACCCGAAAACCCCAACCCCGGACACCTCAATTTCTACCCATAGGCCCTAAAGTAGTTCCTTTTTGGGGTTCATATATAGAATCCTATAAGGTAACCCCAAAAAGGAACTACTATGGGGCCTATGGGTAAAGAGCCTCCCGGTCCTGTTCACCCCGGCCCCCCGGCATCAAAGGAAAGCTGCAGTGTTGACAGCTCTCAGCTTCTTGGCCCGCGAAGATTTCGGCTCGTTCTTAAAGTTTAGGGTTTAGGGTTTAAGGTTCAGGGTTTAGGGTTTAGGGTTTAAGGTTTAGGGTTTAGGGTTTAAGGTTCAGGGTTTAGGGTTTAGGGTTTAGGGTGCTAAGCTGTGGGTTACTGTAAAGGTCGAAATGAACAGGAAACACATCAGAAGAAGATGAAGAAGAATAATGATAATTCTAACAGTAATAATTTATAATAACAGCGTTATTCCTAATGTTCCCGTCTGCTCCCCTTAATATAAGCATACCGTTATATACGCCGAAACCCGATTCTAGCTACTATGGCACCTTCCTTGAGCAAAGGGGTCCTGCAATGCAGGATCTACAATATAATATAGGGGCCTCAATAATTACCTACTCTATTTTGCGGGGTTCCTTACTACAAATACAGTATATTATGCGCCGCAAACCCCCATTCTAATGGTTAAGGCCCCTTCTTATAGAACCCCGTATCGCAACCCCTATAGGACCCCTTTAAAGGAACCCTATTCTAATGCCCATAGAAAGGTCCTTTCTTTTCCGAAATGGCCTGAGGCCTATACCCTAAACCCTAAACCCTAAAACCGTTTTCTGGTGGCTCAGAGGGCTTAGGAACTTCGGGCTACAAAGTTTCGGGCTTTTTTGGGGCTGAGAGGGGTTAGGGTTTAGGGTTTAGGGTTTATACGGTTCAGGGTTTAGTTTAGGCTTGGGTTTAGGGTTTAGGGTTTAGTTTAGGGTTTAGGGTTTATAGGGTTTAGGGCTTAGTTTAGGACTGGGTTTAGGGTTCAGGGTTTAGGGTTTAGGGAGGATGGTTTGGGCTTGCGGGTTCTAGGGTGTTCAGGTTTAGGACGTTCGGGTCTGGGGTTTAGGTTTAGGGGTTTAGGGTTTAGGGTTTAGGGTTCGGGTCTGAGGTTTAGGGAGGTGGGACGTTCCGGTCTGGGGTTTAGAGTCTGCGGGTCCGGGTTGGTGTTCATTCACCTACTGACCTTGTCTTTCTTTCGCGAAGAGCGGGAGACTCCCGTCAGGATTTGTTTCTGGCGTGCTTGTTCTAGGACATTTTCAGGTGGGTAGTTACCGCTATTGGAGCCTTATAGAAGGTCCTATATACCCTAAACTCCCCACCTGTAGTTTCCTTTAACTCCGGATTTGTTTCTGGCGCGCTTGTGGGTGGAACTGCCGGAAGGCACATTGCAGGAGATCTTCAATTCTTCCAAGAGGGCTGCCCTGAGCCCCAAACTCAGAGCCCGCAACCCTCAGCCCCAAACCCCAAACCCTAAACCCTAAACCCAAAACCCAAACAGATTTTTGCATGCGCTGTCCCCAAAGGATGTACCATTTCCCATGGCGGCGGACCGGTGACCACGATTGAACCTTCACAGAGGGCCAAACTCATACCGCTTTCTTAAGGACTCAACGAACCAAAAAGAGCTTCTAGCTCACATTCCTTTTAGGGCATAATTTATTAAATGGAGCATGCTGTTTGGGCAGTCGTTTGGTCCATGAAGTGTCGCTTAACTGTGGCGGACGGCAGTCTCAACACAACGGGTGGTTGTCAAACAAGCGGGTGGGTTGTACATCAATACACCAAGAGTAGAAATCAGACGCCGTCCCGCTGTTGAGGCTTACTCGAACATACTTGCATGGGGCTTACATGTGAACATGTTTACTTAATTCCAGGCCCCAATATTGTTTTCAAATTTATGTACCTGAACCCCCGCTAGCTGCTAGCCTAGGCCTAAGCCCTTGACCCTTCAACATCCGTAAACACAAGTGTAGTCAGTTGTTTATTCACTTGCTTCTGTACAGTTACATACCCGTACATCAAACAATCCAGACAAATACATGCATATCTCTGTGTGTGTGTTATGTGTGTATATGTATATACACAGACAATGAGAGTGAAAGAGAGGAGAGTGCCACCAGCATCCTGCTTTAGCCTAAATCCTGAAACCTGGACACGAAACCATAAACAAGCATGAATCCTAGACCCTACACCCTGCAAGCCCCAAAGTCGAGGCCCGTGGAAAGAGCCGATCACGCTGCACGCCGCTGCTTGGGCCGCCATAGCTTTAAGGGTTCCTTCAATGGTTCCTTCACGGGTTCCGTTGAGGGTTCCTACAAAGCTTTCTTGGAGTGCTGCTTTATCGGAGCGTTTGCAGGGTTGAATATGTTTATGTCTTCTCCTCTTCCCAACAGCGAAACGGCTTGGGCTATCGTGATGTTTGATCAGTCTAAAGATTTGACCGCGGTTGTTGTTGGGAAGAACTGTATGTACTGCTGATTCACACAGCCCTTCTGATTTTGACCACATCCTGCCCTAAACCCTAAACCCTAAATCCTTGCTTCAGGGGAGGGTGCAGGGCTTCGGGCTTGGGGTTCAGGTCTTAGGCCTTGGGTTTAGGGTACAGGGAAAGTCCAGGGGTTTAGGGTTTAGGGTTTAGACCGAATAGGACATGGGACTGTCTCGGGGGATTGCAGGGGCCAGGGTTGGGGGTTGAAGGTTCTGTTTGTGTTTTGGTGTTGTTGTGGGCTTTCATGTTCAGGGTGTGAGGCTTCGGGTTTCCCTAAACCCTAAACCCTAAAGCCCGTGTCGGGTTATGGAGTTTATCAGGGCAAAAACCCTGAACCCAAAACTTCTAAACAGCAGTTATGGCAGCAGTCAAGCTGCAAAATGCCCAGCTTCACCAGTGATCAGCCACCCGAATGGGTTTAAGGTTTAGGATGTAGGTTTGGGGTTCAAGGGGTCGCAAGCAGTAGGATCCTTGCATCAGCGGAATCCTAAACATGTGGGTAGTTCTCAAAAGTAGGGTTCCTTTTAGGGTCCTTTTTATAAGGGTGCCGTACTACATTGGCTACTCGAAAAGGGACCCTAATTTACAGAACTACCCATGTGGCTTTTGGACCCCGCGTTGTTTTGATGAAAGACGTTTGCAGCTTGCTGGCTCAAGCCACGGTTCATCCCGTTTAGCGTTTCTATGGTATAGGTTGCAGAATTGTTAAGCTCCATGTCTTGGGTCCCGAAACCGTGGTTGTCGCGCCATCGTGAACTCCAGAACTGACTTCCGTCAGTCATCAATGTGGTTCTAGACGACACCCCGACACCCAAAACCCTTGATCCTAAACCCCTAGACCCTAAACCCTGAACCCTAAACCCTTAAACCCTGAAGCCCTAAACCCTTGAAGCTCAATCCCTAAACATCCCCCAAACCCTTAAGCCTCAAGGCTAAGCCCTAAAACCCTTAGCCCGAAACCCCATAAAACCCAACCCCTAAACATCCCTAACCCCTAAGCCCTTAACTTAAACCGTCAAGCCCTATCTGCCCTAAACCCTAAGCCCTTGAACCCTAGCCCCTAAACACCCATAACCCCCTAACCAGTTGAGAAGCCCTAAAACCCTTGAGCGGCTCAAACCCAAGCCTTGCCGATACGCTTCCCAGACCTCCAGTAGGTTTGTATAGATTTGTTTTTTCGGTTCTTATCAGGCTCAGGGTTTGGGGCTTAGGGTTTACGTATAAGGCTTAGGGTTTAGGGCTTTTATAAGGCTTAAGTCCTAAAGTAAGTCATGGCGGACCTGCTGCCAGAGATGATCGGCAAGCCGCAAGTGCCGACGATGGACGCTTCCGACGAAGATTGGGAGGACTATTCGCAATGCCTTTGGAGTGTAGGAGGTAGGGTTCAGTGTGGTGTATGTTAGAAAGTTTCATTGCATGAGAATGCCCCGCTACCTTTCTATGTGGCTTCATGCAGGTTTATTGTGTTTGCTGGGTTTTACAAGCAAGCTCTATTCAAGATTCAACAGATCCTAAACCCAAAAACCCTTAACCCTAAACCCTAAACCCTAAAAACCCTAAACCCTAAACCGTGGGTTTAGGGTTTAGGGTGGCAGTTCAGGCAGGTGCTCTTGCGTTAGACCTGGATTCTCAGGCGTTTAGGGTGAGCCCTGAGCCATCAACCATTCTGGCCAATATAGGGGCTTAAATAACTTATTGGCTGTAAACTCAACTTTTCAACTCAACTTTTGGGGTTCTTATAAGGTACTCGATTCTGAAAGTTTCAACTTTTATTTCCTTGGGTTTTGGGCCAGTGAGATAATTACCAATACCAGTTCGGAGGTTCCTTATTATCATAATTATAGCATCATATACCCCAAAACCCTATTCTAGTTGTTAAGGCCCCTATACTACACCCTCATAGTACCCCTTATAGTAACCCTGATAAGGAACCCTTAAAAGGAACCCCCATTCTAAAAACCCTCTTCTACAAGGAGCCCTTAAAAGGAACCCTGTAGGTTACGGAGAGTGTGAAGCAGGTTGTGGTCCCCACTCCTAGGATGTGTAGTTTAGGGTTTAGGTTTTAGGGCAGAGCTCATAGCCTAGCCTTAAACCGTTGACCCTAAATCCCTAAACCTTAAGCCTTTCTAACCCTAAATCCCTAAACCGTAAAACCTAAACCCTAAACCCCTAGCCCGTCACCCTAAGCCTCAAGGTTTCGGGTTTAGAGTTTAATGTAGGGGTCTAAATATTTTACCTATACTATTTGGGAGGGGGGGGGGTCCTTATTATAAGTATAGTATAATGGGCCCCAAAACCCTATTCCAATTATTTTTTCGGCCTTAAACTTTATGGAAACCAAAACCCTGAACCCAAAGCCCTAACCTAACTATACAGCAACCCAGACTTTAGGCCCTAAGACACCCAAAAAACCTTTACCCTTAACCTTAAACCCTATACCCTGAACTCTAAACCCTAAGCCCTAGACATAGAGGAGCTCTACAGCAGTCTGATCTCCCAGATGGTCCCATCACGGGCCGAGATGCTTGATCTATCAAGGGCTTTCGGAATTGTGGTTCAGGCTTCAGGGTTTTAGGATTTAGGGTGTAGGGTTTCGGATGTATGGTTTAGGGTTCGGGCTTCAGGGTTGCAGGATTTAGGGTTTAGGGTTTAGGGCTCAGGGTGTAGGCTTCAAGGCCACGGCTCTGAGAATTCAGATTGAAGGTATCCGCGTACATGAAGACCCTGATATGAGCGCTTGTGTTGGTGCCTGAGGTTTTGAGTTTTGACTCTACTCACTTCGGATATTAGTGTTTGTAGTTCATGTATCTCTCCAAACAACAACGATACAGCGTCTAGCAACTCCTCCCCCCCTCCCAAAAACCCTACACTCTACCTGGTGCCCAAAAGAGACCTACCTGTTTAAGGAACTTGATATAGAAACCATAGGAATCCCAAAAAGGTAAGTCTTTTCGGCTACAGTGTTACAGGTAAACCCTCAACTCCAAACCCTAAACCCAAACCTCTAAACCCTGAACCCTTAGCCCGAACCCCTACACCCTAAGCCCTAAACCCTAAACCCTAAACCCTACTCCCTAAACCCTAAACCCCTACACCCTAAGCCCTAAACCCTAAACCCTACACCCGCCATGCGGAGATCTCAGGATCGTGCGGGCCACGCCGGCGTACCGGGTCCTGCAGTGCCTAGGTCGGCCGCTTCGGGTTCGCGGCGGCGACTCGGTCGACAGAGAGACCAGGGTTTAGGGGGTTTAGTGGGTTTAGGGTTTAGGGTTCCGGGTTTAGGGCTGAGTAATTTAGGGGTTTAGGGTTGAGGGTTCGAGCTTGGAATTTAGGGTTTGCTGTCCTGAATCTTTGGAGGAATTGAATATCAAGACTAACATAGAGTTTGATTGCTTCCCTACAAAGCAAGCGGGTGTTGGTAGCCTAAAGAAAACCAGTCGACATATGGTTTTACAGGATTTTTGCGGGGAGTGTTGCATTTATGCAGGTTTTAGGAGCATTTTTTACAGAATCTAGTTTTCAGGGTGTATTACTTCAAACATCTTCAAACACTAAATCAATATGAGCCCTGAGTGTTTCAATGAGAACAGAGGGTTTTGGAACATTTGCTTTATTCGAGACGCCCTTTTGCTTGCAAGGGTCTTGGAATCTCAAGCATTGTAGGAGTTGAGGGTTCTGGGCTTACCAAGGTTGTTATGGAGTGTTCCGGTGGGCTTGAAAAACTAGGGTTTTGCACTGTTGCGCAATGTCTTCGATTGTGTTATAAGGTTTGTTTTAGGATGTTGGGTTTAAGGTTCTTCTTAATTCGACGTGTGGATAACTGATGAGCACCGTGGCGGTTATCCTAAACTTGTAAGCAAAATTCCTGTTCAGGCTATCCATCATCGGCTGGCAAATTATAAGTCCCCTGAGCTGGGCCACTAAGTAAACTGCATACTTCCCTGCGACTCAACTCCTGCCTAAATCCGAAGCCTAAACCCTAAACCCTAAACCCTAAACCCCTAAACGCTTAAGCCGCAAGCCAGGCGAGCTGTATGCGTTCAGCTGCCCAACCACCCGAATTGCATCGTTTTGGTCCCACAGTTGGCACGGGCCGACCTGGTTCCTTGGTGTTCTTCGGGTTGGCTCTTAGGACTTTAACTTTTTAGTTTCTATATGAACCATAATAAGGAGGCTAAAAGTTTAACTTTTAGGAGGGGTGTAGAAGTCAGCCAAGGTTCAAGGTTCTGACGCTCTTCCACGTGAACAACGGCATTGCTGCTGCGGCTAGGTCCGCCAGTAGTACCTGTATTCGCTGTTATCATGAGGTTGGGGGGGAGGGTATATCCTGGTTAAAGCTGAATATTATATAGAAAATCACATACTACTAGCATGAGCACGATGATGTTGATGATCATGTTTAGTTGTTACTATAGTTGTTGTTCTTAACTGCCACCGTCATCACTGTCACTTCTCCTACTATTGCTATCATTCTTGTTTCTTGCCACTCCTGTCACCATTACCATCATGCTTAAGATTTGTTGTCATTTAAAAAGCATTCCTAAACCCTAAACCCTAAACCCAAAACCCTAAATCCCAAACCCTAAACCCTAAACTCCATACTTGCTACCGCCTTTGGGGAACCCAGGCGGCACTGAGTACGACCTCAGCTGTGCTGGTGGGCAGTCTCTATAGCGCCGGTGCTCTCCCCGACTTCTTTGGCCAGCTGGTTCAAAGAAAAGAATCCCTATATAGGGTTTAGGATTTTAGGGTTTTAGGGCTTTAGGGCTTTAGGGTTCTAGGGTTTAGGGGTTTAGGGTTTTAGGGTTTAGGGTTTAGGATAGGTACTTTGCGGCCACAGTATATACTATGTGGCCCCGAAGTACTTATCCTAAACCGTAAATCCTATACAGGGATTACTTCAAGGCCAGAGCATATGCTGTTGTGGTACACTTTAAGGCCAAAGCACATGCTGTTGGGGTACATGGGCCCATCGGTAGCCATCCTTATGCTTACAAACACAGGGGCTGAGGTCTAAGGCGCCCTTTGCATGGGGGATCAGGGTTTAGGGTATTAGGGTTTAGGGCCTAGGGTTTAGGGCTTTAGGGTTTTAGGCCCAAAGCCCTAAACCCTAAACCCTAAACCCTAAAACCCTAAAGCCCTAAACCCTAAACCCCAAACCTAGGGTTTAGGCTTTAGGGTTTAGGGTCCCGAAGACCACGCCTTGCAGGTCAGCTCGGCTGGTGTTCCTTCGTCGCCGCCGTGACCTATTCCTGCACTTTCGTCCTGTGGCAGAGTAGTCTTCCTGTCTTCGTGGACCGGATCTGCATTCCTACGTATGACGAAACGATCAAAGGAGCCACTCTAAGACTTAGTTAGCCAATAGGAGACGTTTAAATTTTTTTTGGCCTTATATATTTGGTCTATCCTAAAAAGTTTGAACGGGCCTGGTTGTTGAAGAAGACAGAAAACAGTGCAAGCCTACAGCCGAAACCTTTTGTCCGATCCAGCTGCAACATGTGTCAACTCCCACCGCGTGGACTCCAAAGCCCTAAACCTGAGAACCCTAAACCCTAAACCCTAAACCCTAAACCCTAAACCCAGAAGCCTAAATAATTTCCTCTATTCTTCCTTAGGGTTCCTTATTACAAAATATAGCCCAAAACCCTATTCCAATGATGAAAGCCCCTACGTTAGGAGAAGCGCTCATAAGTCTGGGTGCATTTCTGAAATGCTCTGACTCCATGCTCGTACTCTGGGATCCCAGCTTCATGGACCGCTTCTTGGCTCGTTTAGAGCTTTAGGGCTTAAAGTTTGGGGTTAGATTTACTATTAGAGTTTTCAGGCCTAGGGTTCAAGAATTGTTTTTGGCATAGTCGGTCAACAGAATCATGGTTCGTCATGCCTCGGCAGCAACCCAGGTTTGTGGTGTATGTTCGAAATCGGTGCATTCTTGCATAGCCGCCAACGAGGCAGAAAGCCACTGCTGACCATCCGACCGACTGTTCTTGGTCCTGCTATTATCACCATCGTTGCCGAGCTGGCCCATGGGTGTTGAAAGCCAGGAATGCCTTGCTGTGGTACATCTACGGTTTAAGGTTTAGGGTTTGGGTGCTTCACAATATAAAAGATCCCAGAACACTATTAGACTTTCGTGGTGGGTTTAGGGCCAGAGATGACCTGCACCCTGAAGCCTAAGGCCTTCGACGCTTAGAACCTATGCGGCAGCATCCCGAAGACCTTACTACCCTAAGCCCTAAACCCTAAACCCTAAACCCTACACCCTAAACCCTAAACCCTAAACCCTAAACCCCAACCCCAAACCCCAAACCCTAAACCCTACCCAAACTGCCCGAAACGCTGGACCAGAACTGGGACCTCTTTTGCTTCAACATCGGGATCTAGTGCACCACCCAGGTCGTGATCAATGCGATTTCTACGTTTTCCTGGCGCTGGATCGGAGCCCTCACGGAGTTCTATCTTGCCATGATTGCTGTTTGCAGTGTGCCCATGAGTGTTTGGTGTTCAGGGATTCCGAGTTTAAGGATGTACCCTAAACCCCTAAACCGCGAAACCCTAAACCCTGAACTCTAAACCCTGCCTAAACCCTAACCCTAAACCCTAAACCCTAAGCCCTAAGCCCCAAGCCCTAAACTTTAGGAGTTTAGGAGGTTGAGATTTAGGCTTGAGGATTTAGAGGATTACGGGTTCAGGCTTTCGGGTTTTCCGCGGGATTTTAGGGGTTGCAGGGTTTCCCGCTTCAGGGCTTTAGTATGGGTTTAGGATTTGGGTTAGGGTTTAGGGTTTATGGTGAGGTGCCCTTGGTCCTTCTCATCCACGTTAGTCGTGGTTACTGCCGGACGGTCGAGGAGCTGCAGGAGGACATGGCTCACTTCAGCATCGAGAACCTGACCAGCTATTGCTGCACTGTGGTTCCTGGGCCCTCCTTAAGCAGCCGGTGTTGAGTTCCCAGAATGGGGTGCTACAGGATTTATTAAAATAACGGCGTCATGTGATAAGGAAACTTACATATATCTATATATATATATATATTTATTTGTTTATTTATTTGTTTATTTATTTGTTCACAAACACACTTATATAACAAGAAATGTGTGTGTATAAATATGTATAAAATCTTTTGTATGTATGTTGCGCTAGCTTAAGCAACGGTTCTGTTCTATAGTGTGTTCGAAATGCGGGGACGCTCCAACAAGAGCTAAGGATCACATAGACCCGTCAACAGGCGACCTCATGCATTGCGACCGGAAGATTATCTTGCAATGTATTCGCACATGGCTCCTTTGAACCTGTTTGGTAAGGGCGGCTGTTTGTATGGGTTGTTGAATCTTGCTGGCAAGCCTAGGCCCTCAACCCTGAACCCCTCAACCCTTAAAACTACACCCTCAACCTAGACCCTAAACCCTAAACCCCTAAACCCTAAACCCTACACCCTAAACCCTAACCCTACACCCTAAACCCTAAACCCCACACCCTAAACCCTAAACTTGAAGAGGCCTTTGGAGCCCTAAACCCCGAAACCCTGGCATCCTGGACTCCTCTTGGCTTCGACCCCTAAAGGAAACCCGGAAACCCTCATTGTTGGGGCCTAATAATTACCTGCGCTATGTTGGGGGGTTTAGGGTTTAGGGTTTAGGGCTTAATAATTACCTGTTCGATTTTTTTTGGGGGGTCCTTTTATAAGTATAGTATAGTATACCCCAAAACTCTGTTCGAATTATTAAGGCCGCTATGTTGGTTCACTAAACCCTAAACCTTAAGCCTCAAACCCTTACTAAATCCTGAAGCCTGAAACCCTGCACCTTAGGGGTACTTAGAAGTAAATTGTAATCTTTGCCTACTATAAACCCTAAGAAGCAGCTAAAATTTCAATTTTTGCTAGGGGTCTAAGTTAGGTTCAGTATAGACACCATTAAACCCCAAACTCCCAACCCAGGTTTGGGACGGTTCAAGCCTTCGAGCAGCGAGTCCAGTCAGAGGTTTTGCAACTCCTGGTCGACCAGCTGTCGAACGAGGCGGTTTTGGGTGTAAGGGGTTTAGGGTTTAGGGTGGCTTTGGGTGTAAGGTTTAGGGGCCAAAATAATTACCAATACTATTTTTGGGGGGCTCCTTATTACAATCATAATATAATTGGCCCCAAAGCCCTATTCTAGTGATTCAGGCCTCGACATTAATTAAGGTTTAGGGTCTGGGGCTTAGGAGTTAGGAAACCACCGAGTAGAAGAAAGAATGGCCCAACACCCACGAAACGCTTCCGCTCTACATTTTTTGGGGGTCAAGGTAGGGTCAGGGTTTGGGGTTTGGGGGGCTATAGATTTGCCTGCCCAAGCCCTAAACCCCGAAACCCTAAACCCGAAACCCGAAACCCTAAACCCTAAACCCTAAACCCTAAACCCTAAACCCCTAAAACCCAAACCCTAAATAACGGAACCCGGAGACAGAAACGCGACGTATGGACGCAGGTGTTTTCCTATGGGCAGGCAGTGGCCATAACTACACCCGTCGTCTCTCGGCTCCGGCAGAAGCCCTTCCTGAAGTTTAGGGTTTTGGGTTTTGGGTTGAGGGTTTTGGGTCTAGGGTTTAGGGTTTAGGGGGGCTTGGGGTTTAGGGTTTAGGGTTTAGGGGGGTTTTGGGGTTTAGGTTTAGGGGGGTTTTGGGTTTAGGGTTTTGGGTCTAGGGTTTAGGGGGTTTTGGGTTTAGGGTTTAGGGTTTCGGGGGGTTTAGGGTTTAGGGTTAATGAACTCCCGCACAGCTAGCAGGAGGTAGTCTTTTGAGGGGTCAAGGGAGGGTTAAGGGTTTTAGGAGTTAGATAGTTTGGGTTTAGAGTTTGGAGGTTTGGCGTTGGGATGCAGTCTTTGTTCTTCACTTGTCGCTTCCTGCGCTGCATGAGCTATCCGGGTCACAGAAGATACATCCTGACAGCCTTGGGCGTATTCGGCATGCCTGATTCATTTGTAATCGTATCTCACCTGGCTGTCTTTAGTTGTACCGTTTTGCCATAACACACCCTAGCCCTCGTGAAACTCATAGAGCACATTATACAGCCCGAATGTAAATGCTAAAGCTCTGTTCTTGCAATGGCCCATACCTTATACTAAAGCCTTATATGCCCGGAGCCTCAAAACCTTACAACCCTATACATCAACCCTATTGACTCATAAACCGCTTTGTTGCTCCTTCACCGAGGTCTGGGGCTATATGGATTTTGGCTTCGATTGGATCCTCCGCGGCGACATCTCCAAAGCGGCGCACAACTTCATGCGCGGTCTGACATATATGTTCGCAGTGTCACCAACATTATTGTTGCGGCTTGGCGTTCGAAAAGCAATGTTTCTCAGGTTTGTGGTAGTTGAAGATTGCAAAAACCCTAAACCTACACCCTAGACCCCTTAACCCTAAACCCCTATACCCTGAACCCTAAACCCCTACACCCCATACACCCTAAACCATCTTCCCACGTAGGATCGCCTTTTCGTCACAGCTCCCCAGAAGCGCCCACCTGAGCTTCAACAGTAGGCCCCAAACCCCTGATGAACCCTTTCTGAACCCTCAAGAACACTTCAACCCTAAACCCTAAACCCAGAACCCTTTTTTTGAACCATAAAGAGTCGGACCGGGGCTTGGGCGTATATCAGAAAAACCCTCAGATCGCGAAACTAGAGTTTTAGGGTTTAGGGTTTAGGGTTCAGGGTTTAGGGCTTAGCGTTGTCCTATTTTTATTCCTAAAGCCCTGAATTAGGCCTTATAGGGTCTAAGGTTCAGGGACCCCGCTTCATGGAATTTCTGTATTGCCAGTGAACTTGGCGTTCTTCTGGTTGGCTCTTAGGACTTTAACTTTTTGGGTTTCTATATGAACCATAACAAGGAGGCTAAGAGTTTAACTGTTAGGAGGGGTGTAGAAGTCAGCCAAGTGCAGGTTGTTATTCCGTCTTTTGGGGTTCTTATAATTTAGTAGTAACCTTAAAGTTTAACCTTTTATTTCCCTGGCCTATTGGGCAAGTAAGTGAAGGTTGTTATTCCGACTGGCCTACTGGGTGCGCAGGCAGCGCTCACGGCTCCTGGATCCACTCGTGTCCGTACTGGTCTTCTTAGCCGCGTGTGTCTTCTTCCTTGTGCCTAGGTTCCACACAAACCAGGACCCTCTAAGTACCCTCAAATAGGGGTATATGGTCCCAAATTAAGGGTATTTAGAGTCCAATAGAGGGTAGATGGAGGGTCTAGGAATACTCTAGGACATTTTCAGGTGGGTAGTTACCGTTATAGGAGCCTTATAGAAGGTCTATATACCTTATGGAAGCCTTATAGAAGCCCTATATACCCTGTGAAGACCTGCCAGGCCTTAGGAGTGCAGTGGGCACATGGAATCCACTGTTGTGCAGATCCAACAGCCTGTGCTGTGGCCGTGTGTGTCTCAGAGGGAGGGCTTGAGCTTTACGGCACGTGCCATGGAGTGAAAAGAGCCTCTTCGGCTTGTGCGAGTGACCTGTTCCCAGCGACTTCGTGTGCGACTTGGAACCAGAGCTGCCAGGGTGCTCTTAACCCTGGTAGCGGAGCCTACCGCGCTATCAGGAACAAGCTGTGACACAGTCTTTCAGGTGTCATGGCGACCGATCCCCAAGGGACCTCTGGAGCGAGCCCCGCCAACACCGGCAAGGCCGACAACTACGTCCCCGTCTTCAGCAACCAGCAGAGAGACTACAAAGAGTTCAAGAAGCGTGCTGAAATCTACCGGGTGAAGATGAGATTGGCTGGCCGCCAAAAGGAGACAGTCTTCAACCTGGTGACGATGATGAGTGGCAAGGCCTGGGACCTCGTCGAGGACTTCCCGGTCGCGGACATGGAAAAGGACGACAGCTTCGACAAGATCTTCGACCGGCTCGACAAGGGTTTTCGATACGACCCCTTGACCGAGCTCCCCGACGACTTCGAGGCTTACTTCATAAAGCTGCAGCGGAAGAACAGCCAGACCTTGCAGGAGTGGAGTGCTGAATACCTACGAGCAGAACGGAGACTGGCGACGACTCACGGAGTCACCCTCCCGGACAAGGTCCGGGCCTGGTTCTTCCTGAGGAGGAGCGGCGTGAGCAAGGAACAGAGACAGCTTATCCTCACCAACGTCGGTGCCGAGAACCTCAACCTGGAGGCCGTCAGCAAGGCAATGAACTTCATCTTGGGGCAGGACTCCAGGATAGAAGGAAGGGGCGACCGTTGGAGCAAGAAGCCGGACCAGACCTACTTCCAGGACGAGCCCTGCGACGACGATTGGTTGGACATGGACACCGCCTACTACCAGGACGTTGGTGATGAGCCCCCTTGGCTCGACGCAGACCAGGCCTACTACGAGGACGAGCCATCCGAGGAGGACTTCGAGGACGCATGGGACGTTGAGGAATATGACGAGGTCTTCGCTGCCTATGCCGACGCCAAGAACCGCATGAACAAGATGAGGACGGCCCGCGGCTTTTACCCCGTCGTTGCCCTAGTGGACCGCCCGACCTCCCCTACTTCGTCCGTTGGCCGTGGCAAAAGCCCCGGAAAGAAAGGAGGGAAAAGGCCGGGAAAGAAGGGACAGCCAGGGAAACAGATGCCCCAGACAAAGGGCAGCGGAGGAAAGGCCAGTGCCCGTGGCAAGGCTGCAGTTGGACGACAGATCTGCTTGCGATGCGGCCAGTCGGGCCACTGGGCCCGCGATTGCCCGGCCCAAAGTGGAGACAAGAAACGCCGCCTCGACATGCCAGGGGGTGCCACCGACGAGGTGATGATGGTGACGGACGCCGACCTCACCAACGACGCGGCCAACTGCGACGTGACTGCGGCCATGATCCCGGTGTACGCCCTGGACAACGACGAAGACGACGACAACCAGACTTGCAACAGAGCCGTCCAGGACGGCGGCGCGGCCTCGGTGCTGGGAAGTCTCCTCTGCATCAAGAGGTACATCCGGCACCTCCTCGAGAATGGCTTCCCTCTGGACACTCTCGAGGTCTATGCCTGCAAGAAGTCCTTCCGCTACGGCAACTCGGCGACGGAGTCCACCGGCCTTTGTGTCATGCTGCCAGTGGTCATGGGTGGGAAGAAGCGACAGGTGCTGACCTACATCATCGGCGGCTCGTGTCCCATCCTCTTTGGCCGGCCCGTCCTTGAGAAGCTCGAGGTGACGATCGACTACAAGGCCGGGATGATGAGGTGGCCCGGTGGGAAATGGCAACCGATTGCCCGAGGAGACCGTGGTGAACACCAGCTCGTGTTGACCGAGGACATCGCGACCCTTCTGGACGAGACCCTGGACTACGATGAGATCCTCGCCCCAACCGACTTCGAGACACACGTCGACACGACCAAGAACCTCGGCTACCAGGCCATCCTTGGGAAGGCCACCCACCACCACGAGGCATGCCACACTGTGCTCNNCGAGAACCACAGCAACGAGAAGGACCACAACCGCGAGAACCACAGCAACGAGAAGGACCACAGCCGCGAGAACCACAGCAACGAGAAGGACCACAGCCGCGAGAACCACAGCAACGAGAAGGACCACAGGGGGGATATCAACCATGACGCAGAGGGGGACGTGCACCAGATCGACTACAACGGCATGAGGGACTCGACGAGGGAACATAGGATTGCCTTCGACGAGAGTCCCACCGTGATTCCAGACAGCGCCACGGCAACAGCCTCACCTCCATCACCAGCGTGGACCTTGGAGGAGATTGTTAACGAGACGCAGGTGCCCATGAACAACAAGGCCGTGGTGAAGAACCTCCCTAAGGGAAAGCTCCACAGCCTTATTGCCAATGCGGCCAAGGAGACGAAGGACCTGAAGAGTACAATGGACAGGGCAGCCCGGGTGACTTCAGGTGACACCAAGCTGGTGTGGGAAGTCTTTGCCGGAAAAGGGAAACTGACTGCCAACCTCAAGCGCGAGGGTGCGATGACCGAACGGTTTTCCACAAGGGAGGGATGGAACTTTCGCCGGGCCAAGGACCGGAAGAAGTTCTTGAGGAGACTCTACCACGAGGAGCCCGACGAGGTGATGATCACTCCTTCCTCGCGCCTGTGGAGCCCTACACTGGAAAAGCAGATGGCCATCACTTCAGGTGGCTGGGTTCAGCTGTGCAGACAGAGGCAGCAGGACCACGACGAGATCCTGGTCTTCTGCGCCTTGATCTTCGAGGCTCAGCGACGTGGAGGCCGACACGCTCATTTGGAGCATCCTTGGGCCAGTCGGGCATGGAGAACAAAGGCTTTCGGCCGTCTCGCTGGAATGCCGACCTACGTGGACCAGTGCATGTACGACCTCGCCGTCAAGGGGAACCACAAGCACAACGACCCCGTGAAGAAGCCCGTCTGTGTCATGACGACCAAGAGGAGTGTACATGAAGGACTCTGCAGCGAGTGCGACGGGAGCCACAGCCACGCCCAGGGACAAGACCCAGAGGACGATAACGAGATGCCGGAAAAGATGACAAAGAGGATCGCTGAGCTCATTGTCCACGACGAGGCGACCGACCACGCCTTTGCCGTCAACGAGGGCACTGAGGACGCCGACGTGGAGATGCAGCCGGTCCCGGAGAGCATCGATAAGGAGGAGCCCGAAGCCATCAAGGCCAACCAGGAACTAAAGAAGCAGGTTGGACGACAAGCCTTCAGCTATGTAGCCCGCCTCCACAAGAACCTTGGACACCCAAGCCCCACAGTGCTAGCAAGGATGCTGGAGGAGGTGCAGGCAACCGAGAACACCATTACGTGTGCCAAGCACTACCTCTGCGCCGCCTGCCTGAAAAGGAAGAAACCAGCAGGGGTACCACCAGCCAGCGGCATCACCGCACGGGAGTTCAACGAGCGGCTCATGCTGGACTCTGCCTGGATCGACACCGATGATGGCCGCATGTGCGTCCTCACGATCATGTGCCAGACGACCCGATTCGTGACGATAAGGGTCCTGGCGAGCGAACAGAGCAAGGAGCTCCTGAAGGGACTCGAGCGTGCCTGGATCAAACACTTTGGCGTGCCAAAGGTGATCCGGATCGACGAGGCAAAGGGATGGAGCGCTACTCTCATCCGCGAGTGGTGCTCTGACCACGGAGTGGAGCTGGAGATCGCCCCCGCCGAGGCACACAGCTGGCTTGGAGCAGTGGAGCGCCGACATCAAGTTGTTCGAAGAAGCCTGGAGCTGTACATGGAGGACCGCCAAGACCGAACGAGGACAGGACTGCGAGAGGCCGCCATCTTCGTGCCTGGGCAGATCAACTTGCTGAGTTCAGTGAAGGGCTTCTCTCCTGCCCAGTGGGTCCTTGGCAAAACCCCAGCAAACAGCTTCAGCCTCACCAACGAGTTCTTCAACCCGGCCGCCCCGGAGGCGGATGATGATGCCGAGGCCTTTGCTGCAAACCAGCGACGGCGCACTGCGGCACAGATCGCCTTCCTGAAGGCCGACACTGACCTACGACTTAGGCGGGCAATGAATAGGAACTACCGGGAGGGCGACCAGGCAATGCCGAAAGTGGGCCAGAAGGTTTTCTTCTGGCGTGTGCAGGGAGCGGGCATTCTTCAGAAGAACCGGTGGCGAGGACCTGCCCGGGTCGTGGCGGTTGAGACCGACGATGCGGGCAAGGAGCGTGTCATATGGTTGGCCCACGGAACCTCTTTACTTCGCTGTGCCCCTCACCAAGTTCGGCCTGTCATCGAGGACACTGGGTACAACGTCGCCGCCGACCCTGCAGCTGCAATGGAAGCCCTGCAGGAGTTAAAGGCCCGAAGCACCACCCAGTTCAAGGATATCACCGCCAACACGCCTGTCCTTGAAGACAATGTCGATGACGACCACCTCTCTGACTACGAGCCCAGCATCCCGGACGAGGGCCACCCTAGCGACGCTGACGAGGAGTCCGAGCGGCCTTTGCCGCCCGTGCCTGGTGTTGTGGAGCTTGCCTTTCAGGACGTGCTCGCCCGACAGCGTCCCATGACGCGCCGCATCAGCACTGCCGAGCCCGAGCCCGCGCCGGAGTCTGCCGACAATGACGCCCCGCCGGACAAACGTGCTCGGCGCAATCCTGCCAGCCGGCCCGATGACCACCGCGACCCTGTGAGCCGAGCGCCCGCCCACCCGCCCGATGCTGCTTCCTCTTTTCCTTTTTCTCCCGCGGCAAGCGCGTCTGCCAGCGCGCGGGACACACCAGTGCCTGAGGATGACGAGGAACTCTTTGTCGATGCCTATGTGGTTGACACTGCAGACAACGACTTTCCCGAGGGATGGGCAGTGGTCGAGGGCGAGATTGCCATCGATGAGGTGTGGTTGGCAAGGGCCGAGGCGAAGGAGAAACACATGACCGCCGAACAGAGGGCGGCCATGATGGAGGCTAAGCGGACCGAGCTCGAGTCGTACTTCAGCAACCAGGTGTGGCAGTTTGCACAAGATGGCGAAAGCAAGGCTGGCAGGACCGTGTCAGCCCGCTGGGTGCTCTCGTGGAAGGAGCCCGAAAACGGAGGGCCTCCAAAGGCTAAGGCCCGCCTGGTTCTTCGTGGCTTTGAGGACCCCGACGTAATGAACATCGAGAAAGCCTCGCCTACTGCCACGAGACAGAGTAAGATGATCCTGCTCGCCTTCGCTGGGAACTGGCAATGGGTGGTGTTCTGCGGCGATGTTCGGACGGCCTTCCTCTCCGGAGCCGAGTTCAACAGGAAGATCCTGGTGAAGCTGCCGGCCGATTGCGGCCCACTGCTTGGCGCTGGCGCGCAGCCGACCTACATGCGCATGCTGAAGTCAGCTTATGGTTTAGCTGACGCACCACTTCTGTGGTGGAAGGAAGCGGACCGGCGACTGCGCAAAGGAGGATGGGAGCGGCATCCACTTGACCGCTGTTTCTACTTGTTGTTTACACCCGACCGCGTGCTGAAGGGGGCCCTAGTGCTTCACGTCGACGACCTCCTTGTTGCCGGTGATGGCAAGAACCAGGAGTTCAAGGATGCAATCGACACTTTGAGGCGAATCTTCGACTTCGGCAAGTGGCAGGAGCTGATCCAGAAGGCGTCCCTCTTCTACTGCGGAGGCAAGCTTGAGCGGGATGGCGACGGCATCCACCTTGGCTATGCCGACTACCTCAAGAAGATTGGCCCCGTGACGGTCCCCCACAACAACAAGGAGAACAGGCCCCTCCAACCGAGAGAGGTTGGAAAGCTTCGTGGATTGATTGGTGCTCTGCAGTGGCCCGCGGGCCAAGGACTGCCGGCACTGAGTGCCTCCCTGAGCATCCAGGCGGCCGGGATATCCAAGGCTGACACCAACCTCGTCGCCGAGTTGAACAAGACCCTCCGGTTTGCCAAGGCACAGCACAGCTACCGCATCACCATGAGGAAAGTGTTCGAGAGCCTCGAGGACATGTGCCTGGTGGTTTTCAGTGATGCCGCTTTTGCTGTGCGACCCGACGGCTCGTCACAGGGAGGTCTTCTTGTGGTGATGACCTCCCGGCGGGTGCTCAATGGCGAGACAGTGCCCTACACGGTGCTGAGCTGGAGGTCCCACAAGCTCCAGCGGGTGTGCCGCAGCAGCCTCGCAGCTGAAGCTCAAGGACTGGCCACAGCCCTCGACGAGTTGGTTATGGTCAAGTCCATGATCTCGCTGATGCTGGACCCCTGCCAAGACCCGAGAGCCCCAGAAACCGCCCAGTGGCCTGGAAGCTCTGTTGCTGTCATCGACGCCAAGGCCCTCTACGACGCTCTGAAGAAGCCCGGGTTCACAAGTGCTCAGGACAAACGGACTGCCATCGAGATCCTTTGCATCCAAGATGAGATCCGACGGTTGTGTGCCACCCTGAGGTGGGTCTCCAGTGAGCGGATGTTGGCTGATGGGCTCACGAAAATTGGGTCAAGGCAAGAGCTCGCGGCCATGATGATGTCTGGCCACCTCAGCCTCGTCTACGACAAGGACTTCGTCGCCGCGAAGAAGAAGACCAAGGAGGAGAGAGAAAAGGCCCAGCGGGCTTCTGGTGGACACTACGGCTCCCGCATTGCGCAGCACATTGCGATGGTGCTGCTGACACAAGCGGCCGAGCCTGTGGAGGGCCAGACACCCGACACCGACGACCCCGTTGCCCGCTACACCGACCTGCTCCTGGGCCTCCTCTTCGTGCAGTTCACCGTCATGCTGGCTTACGTCCTGTACAAGATCGTGAACTACCTGACCGCGACGACGACAAAGGGACCCAGTGAACGAAGGACGACCACGACTGCCTCGACTCAGACCTACGGCCTGACCTCGGAGACCGAGCTCTACCACCTCAACGCCATGACCCGGCAGTACCAGAACGAGCTCGACGAGTACCGCGAGTTCGTGGCCCAGCTCAAGGGCGAGAACACCGGACTTTGGAGACAGCTTGAAGAGTGCCAACAGGAGCTGGAGACTCTCCGACGAAGACCTCACCAGCTTCCCCAGCGGGTGTGGTTCACCTCTAGCGGCCACTGTTTCCACCCGGACGCTAACTGTGGACACCTACGCGGAGCTCGGACAACGGCCAAGACAGTGTGCAGAGACTGCGAGCGCAGGCTGGGCTGAAAGCCAAGCGGAGGCGACTGCAAGCCTCCCCTCTTCAGTTCTTTCTTCTCTTTCTCCTTTTGTGTGAAGACCTGCCAGGCCTTAGGAGTGCAGTGGGCACATGGAATCCACTGTTGTGCAGATCCAACAGCCTGTGCTGTGGCCGTGTGTGTCTCAGAGGGAGGGCTTGAGCTTTACGGCACGTGCCATGGAGTGAAAAGAGCCTCTTCGGCTTGTGCGAGTGACCTGTTCCCAGCGACTTCGTGTGCGACTTGGAACCAGAGCTGCCAGGGTGCTCTTAACC